CTACTTAAAATTCCCTGGACATATCACACAACAAATGTCGAAGTATTAAATCGAATGGGCAGAGATCGAGAATTGCTGCCAATAATAAAAAGAAGAAAAACTGCTTATCTGGGTCATATATTTCGAAATTCCAAGTACTAGTCCTTAAAGCTTATTATGGAAGGGAAGATAGGAGGAAGGGGGAGGAGTAACAACCTCGTAAAAAAACCAGGGTTCATCTGGCCCGGATGATAGCACCCTGTAAGGGCCCCTGCCTAGGGTACAGGCGAAGCTGCTGCCTTGTAGTTAGATGCTGAACCATCAAAGGCTAGAGGAAGAAAACCTTGACGACAAATCACCCGGTCCTCCAGGTTGGGGGTTGAGGCATTGGGCTAACTCCTCAATACTCAGAAAAATGTACAAATGTTAAAAAGCCAAATCTACAGCCTCGGAACGGATGGAATAAAACACGACCACTTAAGCTACGAAAATGGATCAAGAATATAGGAACATGGAATGTACAGGGTCTCTCTACAAAACTAAATGAAGTAATGCATGAAATAAAGAAGCTCAATATGGACATCGTGGTGTTAACAGAAACCAAGAAAAAAGGTACAGGGTCAGAAAACTTAGGGCATTTCGACCATTTCTATAGCGGCATACCAAAAGAAAAAAGAGCACAACAAGGAGTCTCAATAATTATTCGTAAAAGCCTAAGAAGATATATCACCACTTGGGAAGCCATAGATGAAAGACTAATTAAAATAAACCTCAATATACATGGTCATAAACTAACAATAATAGGTGTATATGCAGTTAACGATGATGCACTGGTTAACAAGAAAGAAGAATTCTACGAGAAACTAAACCGAGAAATAACATCGATAGGAAATACGAGGGAATTAATCCTGCTTGGAGATTTTAATGGCAGGGTCGGAAAAAAACAAAACTATAAAATAGTTGGTCCTTACGGAGAAAGCATAACAAATGACAATGGGACCAGACTTATCACAATATGCGAACAGAACCAGCTCCGTATTACAAATGGATTCTATCAGCATCGAGAAGTACACAAATACACCTCGGGACAGAGAACAAGGAATCTAAAATCTATAATAGATTACTTGATTGTACGCCAAAGATCAAATCTTAAAATCTACGACGTAAGAGCTTATAGAGGCGCAGTTTGTGGAAGCGATCACCATTTCTTAAAAGCAAAAATAATGTTTTCAAGAAGAAGCCAGAATGAACAACCAGTAGTTCGCTCAGAGATGGCAGAAGATGTAAGATATAATCTTATCAGCCTAGATCAAGATAGTGTAAAAATATTGTATCAAAACAGACTGAACGAGAAACTTGAAAACATAAATTTCAATAACATCGAAGACCACTACAATTACATTAAAGAAAGTATTCACTCTGCAGCAAAAGAAGCGCTTGGATATTACGAAAAGAAAAACAAAAATACTCCATACTGGTGGGATGAAGAAATAGACACAGCGATAAAACAAAAGAAACAAAAGTATGAACAATATTTAAGTGCAAAAACAGATACAAATTGGTCTGATTACAAAAACCATCAAGCTAAGGTGAGACAAATGATAAGACAGAAAAAAAAATGAATCCTGGGATCAAAACTGTCAAAAATTAAATACGTACATAGGAGGAACTAGAAGTACAGAAAGCTGGAAACTTATTAAATCTCTTAGGACCAACGACAAGAAAAAAGATTTAATCTCACCAATTTCGTTAGAAACATGGGACATGTACTTCAGTAAACTGTTACAAGAAGACCGAATGGAATTCAAAATAAAAGAAAGTAACCAAAACATACGCGTTGAAGCATCTCCTATAAGAATCACGAAAAAGGAAGTAAGGGATATCTGTATTTCACTCAAAAACAAAAAAGCGCCCGGACCTGGCAATATACCCTCAGAACTGATAAAATATGGAACTGAAAAACTATATGAGCATTTGACAATACTCTTTCAAAACTGCATAAACAAAGTAGAGGTTCCAGCCGAATTTAAAACCTCAACCATTTCAACTGTACATAAAAAGGGAAACAAACAAAATTGCGACAATTACCGTGGAATAGCAGTTACTAGTACCATTAGTAAAATCTATGGGAAAATGATCAAAAATAGAATAGAAAGAGAATACACTGATATGGAGGCAGAAGAACAGGCGGGTTTTAGAGCTGGTAGATCGACCATAGACCACCTTTTTTGTATCACCCAACTTATAGAAAAAAAGGTTGCTGTAGATCAAGAAGTCCACTTTTTGTTTGTTGATCTAAAAAAGGCCTACGATAGCATCCCTCAAAATAAGTTATGGAACACTCTCAGACAAACGAACATCAACTCAAATCTCATAACAGCAGTGGAAAAACTATATGAGAACGCCAAAGTTAAAATAGGAACGAATGTTTCCAAAGGTTTTGTAGTAGACAAAGGACTGAAGCAGGGATGCTGCTTAGCGCCGACACTTTTCAAAATATATCTGGAACAAGCATTAAAACTCTGGAAGCGGAAATGCAGCGGCATGGGTATACAATTAAACAATAACAACCTGTACACTCTATGTTTTGCTGATGATCAAATTGTGATTGCTAACGAATATGACGACCTAGAATACATGACTCGAAAATTAATCGAAGAATACAAAAAATGGGGATTAGAAGTCAACATAGATAAAACAATGTACATGAACATCGGTGGTAAAGAACAAAATCTAGTTTTAAACGACGGACAACACATTAAGTACAACAATAAATATTCCTATTTAGGAGTAGAAATCACAGACGACGGCAAATCAGATCAGGCTATAAAAAAACGAAACACTCAGGGTAGAAGGGCCATATCTCAACTAAATAGTATTATCTGGGATCAACATATATCCAAAAAAAATAAACATCGAATATACAACACTATTATAAAGAGCATAGTAATGTATGGAAGTGACGTGTGGCAGTTAAAGGCAACTACTGAAAGAACACTACAAGCCACGGAGATGGACTACTGGAGACGGGCCGCAGGAAAATCAAAACTCGAAAGAATTAATAACGAACGTATACGAGAGGTTATGGGAGTCACACATACGATTGTCGAAGATATAAGAGTACAACAACTAAAGTGGTATGGACATGTGCAGAGAATGCCAGAACATCGTCTGCCCAAACAGATTATAGATTGGTCACCACATGGAAAGAGAAAAAGAGGCCGACCCAGAAAGAGCTGGAGAGACGGAATAGACAGAGAGATCCGAGAGAGAGGTTTAGACGAAGATCTTTGGGAAGATAGAGATGCATGGAGATTGGGCATCGGAAGACGTCGGAGGACGTTTTAAACCGATTATATATATATATATATATATATATATATATATATATATATATATATATATATATATAGATAGATAGAAGGAAAACGAGGCATCGGAAGAAAGAAATAATCATGGCTTAAAAACATAAGGGATTGGACAAATCTCGATGCCCATGCACTTTTTAGAGCCACACAAGATCGAGAGGAGTATTCCAGAATTGTCGCCAACATCCACTAATTGGATAGGGCACCATAAGAAGAAGATTAACTGATTAAATATTCGACAACTTCCACCTATTACATTAATACACTTCAGTAAAATTAACTTACATATTTATATGTACTATTAACTCAAATTCTAATAAATTTTCAACATATTAAGCCATACTTCTGTCTTCTCATTTATCTCTCCAACCACTTCCTCTTGTTTATTTCTACAGTAAGATGTATGCGAATTATGTATCACTGCCATTTTTGATCCTTATCTCTTTTTTTCATTAGTTGTAGTCCAAAGCTTTTCATTTTTCATCCAATTGCTTTCTTTTTTACCTTCTGCATGTTCTTTTCACTAAGGCTCCTTTTCCTTGTACAAGTAGCATTACGATTTGTATATTATAATCATTCTCTATTTTTACAATGCTTAGTAAGGCGCCTTGTTCATAATTGCTTGGTATGTTTTAAGTTTCCTTAAGTTTCAATATATGATTGCTAAAAAGCTAACTACAGGAACACCTATAGAAAGAAGAAGTAGGATCCACAGAGGATTGTTGATCCAAAGATGATGATGATGGTTTTAAGTACACATTTTTATCTGTTCTTTTTTTCACAGCTTATTCAATTTACTTCTTCATAGCCTGGTTGACGAGTTTTCTTTCTTTGTTGGTTTTTACTTTTATGCATATCATTATTTGTTGCTTGTCTTGTGTCTAGTCCTACACTGTATCTGATCTGCTCGCTAATTTTTTTAAAATTTTAACTTGTTCAGCATCACTTTTTGTTTTACATTACTGTTTTTTTTAACTCTACTAATACTAAATACATTCTCTCTATTGGTTTTCAACAATTTCATGCTTTTATTTTGATATTCTGATGCTCTTCCATAAATTTACTTACTGTTTGTTACAGCTTTTCTGGTGCACTTTGTATTTTATCTTAATTTTGTGCCATCTCCGTTTTTTCTTCCTGTCATTTCCCATTTTTTCTTAGTAATTCTTTATACTCTCATGGCTTTTATTTCTTTCTTTATATCATCCAACTTTCATATCATTCGTCAAACTTCAAATTTTGTCTAATTTATTTTCATGTCTTTAATTTGCAAGTCTCCATATTTTTTTACTTTTCACAAAGGAATCGCGTGTTCAGTTTCATGTTTCTTTCTTTTTATGTACACATCGGTGCTATGTCCACTTCTTTCCAATTTTACTAAATGTTAATCATCACGAAAGAACAAAATGGGACTTCGATTCTAATGGCGATTCAGCGAGCACTCCGTTTTATATGGATGGTATTTAACAATTTGTTTGGTTAGGTACGTTTTGTTTTTTAGCTTTTTTGTTTAATACTACACCTGTTCTTCTTACTACTTAATTTAACACAATACTCTCTCAAATTCAAGTCAACTGTAGGTGAGCAATTTAATCACACTTTCATACTAATATGTGCACATTACCTAGAGGTAACATAGAATAAAAAATTATTGCTATAAATACTAAGACTTTAATAGATACAAATATCGAAAATTAAATGGGAAATTTATGTATACAAACCAAGAATTTATACAAATAAGAAATACTTCTTAAAATTATTACATAAAAACAAAGAACTAGAAAAGAAAGTGCGGCCCACAGCTCGTAAAAATTTATACAATTAAATACATTCTAACATATTAACATAAAAACAAGTAAGTAAAAAAAGAAAGTGTGCCCAACTTAAAGTGAACACTTACGGTTATTAAACATTACAATATATGTTATACATCTTTAAGTTCTGCAGGCACCTCATTCTTTGGATGTTTGTTTTCAAAATGCTGCTTGTAGGTCTTTGGGTCGGGCATTTGAGCCTGAAACAAAATTTATACAATAAATAATTACAACAATATATCCGTACAATACTACCAACACTTTTATCTCAACATAAATCTAATCGTAATTTGAACGTGACTATCTGAGTTCAACTGCAAATCATAAGATATACAGAGAACCACAAAAAGAACTCCATAATCATACTAATATTGAGGCTCTTCAGCTACTAAACAACACAAGCTTAAAAAATGGGCTCAAGATGGGCAATTTCTTTGACTTGGACTAGTTACCAGTGTTAAATGCAAAAAAGCATAGTACACTGCTTAAAATTAAAAGTTAGTAGTGTAGCTAATAAATAAACAAATATAAATATTTGGAAACAAGTATTAATAACAATAATGACATCACAGAAGAAATAAAAACTAGAATTGGAAAGACTTGAGCTGCTTTTGTTAATATGAAGGACATTCTGGGAAATCATGCCATTAACTTAAACCTGAAAATGAAATTGGTTATATGCTACATCTTTTCGATACTGCTGTACGGAGTAGAGACTTGGACTTTAAACAAGAGCAATACCGATAAACTAGAGGCCTTCGAAATGTGGATATATAGAAGAATTTTGATATTTTTTTTAATTTGTGTCAGCCTTGCAAATCTTGCAGCTGATTTTAGAAGCCTCCATTGGTTTTTTTAACTAAGAGTATTAGTGTATCTCGATGGTATTTTAAAAGAATTTTATAAATAACAATCACAACCAAACTCAATTCAGTACACACTATTTTTGACATTTAATTAAATGTAGTTTTGTTACTAAATTATTCCCAAAAAACTGCTTCTTTTAAATTCTCCACAATATTACTACCTAATACATAGAAATATTTGAATTTCTCCTATATACCTTGGTCAAAAATACTGACTAAATGTTAAGACAATTTTTTTATTTTTTTTTTTAGCTCACTCAGTTTGCAAATATTGACATATTTACTGGAAGTCTGGATACATATTCAAGGTCATTTAAAAGAAACAGGAAACAACACTATCTAGTGTTCTCATTGGCAATTAGACTTGGCTAGACATTGGCTTAGACAAAGAAAGGGAGGGGACAGGTATAGTGGTGGGCATTTTCGGATATTTTTGTCATCGATGTGCATCGATATTCACATTTGGGCATCCGTTTTCTGTATCGTTATCGGCATCGGTAATAATTTTATCTATGATCGGCATCTGTATCGATACAGTAAGACATTGACACTACTTGAAAGTTTGAAACCTTCCCTAATGCCTATATCGTTAATAGAGAGTTATTGCAAACAGATTTTATTCTTTTATTTTGAGGAATGACCTTAAATATTTTTGTATATATAAAAATAATGTATAAACTATAAATTGTATTTGTTCCATATTATAGAATCCTATAATAAAAATTAAAATAAGAACATTGAAAAGAGTAAAACATTGGATTTAATTATTTTCTCATTTAAAGCATAGGTACCATAACTCATAATAGACGTTGTACATTATGGAAGTGCAATTATCAGAAGTAGCTATTTTAGGAGTTGTTAAATACTTTTGCATATTAGGAGTATATAAAATAGGGAATTTATAAACAATGGATTATTATCAAATAGTTGATATCCAGTTCTCAACTACCATTGAAGAATCTTCAGACAACAGTTCTAAGTGTTGTATAATCTATCACAAATTGCGTCGAGAATTGTGAATGACAAAGCTTTTGGTATTTTAAAGAGATTTACCATTTTAACGTGTGGATGAAATGCAAGTTACCTTTTGTTTAAAGAATAATACCTAACAGGTTGTTCAGTTTTACATAACATTGTAGTTAATAGAGAAAACATGGAAATACCAGCAAATCAGAGTGCTGTTGATATTTTAGTGTAGTACCTTTGATTAAAAGCTTTTCATTTATAAATACTAATCTAAAGCCATTAGAATTTAAAATTAAACCAATTTTAAAAATTAAAACTTGGTTTTATTGTGTTAACCTGCATGATATTTGTGCATAAAAAATTCTAGAAATTAGATACCCCTTATACATCTGTAATGATAATTTCAAATATATTAAATTTAATAATTGAGTTACAAAGATATTCTATGTCTGATCTGTGAAAATTAAACACTTTAAAATTATCTAGAAATTACTTATATTTAAATTTATTTTTACGAACTTTTGTAATTTCTCAAATTGATTTGGGTTAAAACATTAATAATCTATATCTGAGTATAAACTTTTATTTGGGATCAATTCAAGTGAGTGGCCCATAAAAAATAATCTAAATATATATACTGGTTATATCCTTACAAAATGTCAATATTTTGCTAAACCATCGAAATAAGGGCAGATATTGTAAAAACTGTTAAAGAAACAGTTACATCTGTTTTGCATTTATTTATTAATAGCTGTGTGAGACTCTGACCGAGAGTTGATCTTTTAACAAATAAAACCTTTTTGAGAACAAAGGATACAAAGAGCGATAATAAATCGGACAGGTTGAAATATTTGGGTGAGATTCGAAAACTTGTGCCCGTTGCAGTATCAGATACATGTGACATAAGTATCGAATAGATACAGATGACAGATACTATCCCTACGTTACGTTACTGAAACGGAGAGGAGAAACGGTTTCTGCACATCGCATAACTGTTCTTCGATATTTAGGTATCTGATGCTGGCATCAGCAACTGGCATCCGATGCCAATATCGTTATTGTAATAACGACCATCTCTAGACAGGTATCACTCATTTAAAAAGCTTTACAAAGTGAGTTGAGTTTTGAGTTTCCATGTGACTGCCATATTTTAATGCCTGTATGTTTTGCATTACTACCTGTAGGGTTACCAGGTCTACTGATTTTTCAGTAGATCTGCTGATTTCAACTTCAATTTACTGATCTCTTGAAACCCTACATAGATCTACTAAAAAATCTGTAATGATAAAATCATATTCAAAAAGAGATCATTATATCAGTGGTCAATTATAAATTTTGGAAAAAATTCCTTATTCTCAATCTACTGTAGAAATAAAATATGACCTGGCAACCCTCTGGTGCCAGTTTAGACATTGGTCAATTCCAAACAATTACGTGTCCCCTCTTTTTCTTTGTCTAAGATGTAAACTGTTTTGAAAACCGTTGGATTATTACACACAAGTTCTTAGAGATCAAATTCAAATTATGATAAAGTGACAACATTGATAAGATCATACAATTTATTTAATGGTTACTTTCCAGTAAATTGCCTCTGATAATTATTATTTCATTTGCTTTTTAAGTAGAAATATAATAAACTTTACACATTTCTACCAAGACGTTTATGGACTACACATAATATATTTATAGGAGAAAAAATGACATGACCACTTATTGAGTACCTACTACCTGTGGAAAAACAAAAAAAAATCAAAGAACAAGGGACAAAGAACTATTAGACAATATAAGATAAGAAGATCCAAGTCTGTATCAGAAACAGATGAAATAGAAAGATATGGAGTAATCACTCTAACTTTATATATTTGTTGAAGAATCTTCAGTGACCCACTTAGTATTTGAATAATTACATTTGTGACTTAACAGCTAATTAGATAATATATTACTTATTTAAAATATAATTTTTAATGACATTGATAAGTGTAATGGTTTTAAAAGTTATTAAAGTTTTTATATGTGTAAGTATGTATTATCTATACATCAAGCAACAAAGAAACAACCAAGAATATGGCTGTAGTTATTACTATGAAATATTATTTATTGTTGAAACAGATTTAAATAATATTACTTACTTTACAAACAGCGCAAACATGAACCAGTGCCTTTTGAGCAGCTTTTTTCTGGTCTGTGGCGCTGTGCCCCTGTTGTTTCTTGGCTTTAGCGGCTTTTTCCGCAGCTTTAGCTTGTGATTGGATTTTTTGCTGACCTCTTGCCATCTTGATGTACCCGGATGAACTCCTGAGGCAAAAGAAATAATAATTAAAAAGTAGAATATTTTACTGTTATTCTATCCATTCAATAAACAATCTAACCTAACCATGTGCTTCTGTAAAAAATACATTAATTAACAAAATAATCCCATATTCACTTACCTATATAAATTTCATACAATAGGAATTAATTTTGAGTAATTTTTGTATAAAAAATTTAGTTTTTCTTTTTAAATATTGTTATTTAGCTGCGGTGCAGCGTCAGCTTGTGCCATACACCATACCAATCCAATGCCATTAAAAACAGTGAACCAACAATTATTAGATTACAGGGACCTCTTCTGACAGTTCAGCGAAGCAGTATTTTCCTTAAAGTTAAGTCTACACCAGAGTAAGTAAACCCCGTAATATATTAAATCCGGTTTGCCGCAAAATACAGGGTGTTTCAAAAAGGTATGTCATAAATTAAATCACGCATTCCGGGGACAAAAATAAATTGATTGAATCCAACTTACATTAGTACAAAAGTGTACACAAAAAAACTTACAGCCCTTTGAGTTTACAAAATAAAAATTGTTTTTTTGCATTATCTCCCAAACTACTTAACATTTTGTAATAAAAATGGACACGTTACTTTTTTGTTCTGAAAGCATTTTTCATAAAAAAGAAACAACAAAATCTAAGCGCATAGAAAAATTTTTAGAGGGGTGTGCCGCCCTAAATCCCCCAAACTTTTGAGTACGTTCAAATCAAATGAATTTTGTGGCATCATTAGTTAAACACATTATTAAAAAAAATTTGTCACTTTATTTTATCACTTTTCTCAAAAAAAACGGTTTTTATTGAGTTACAGTCCTTTTCATTAACCTTTAAAAAGTTACGTGTAACTAAATAAATGGCTTAAATGAAGTAACAAGTACAAAAAATGTCTATAACCTCTATAAATATGAATATTACAATAAATGTTCAAAATGGCCCCCATTTTCTTCAATACACATTTGGTATCGTTTTAATAAGAAAAACCGAATGCGTTGAAAAATCATATTTTTCTCTATGATGTACGGAAATTGCTGGTAAGATATAGGACTATATCATCAGTTGCATCTATTATTGGACGACCACTATTGTCAGCAACTTGCGGCTGGAATGTACCCGTTTCCCGTAAACGACGATCAATGGTCAGAAATAATCGTCTATCGGGCGTAACTCGATTGGGGTATTTTACTGCATAACGCCTTGTGGCTGCTGCACTATTTCTTTGACATTCACCTACGATATTGCCGATAGTTTATTGAAATCATAATTTAATCTGATCCAACTTACCCAAAGTTAAATGCATATCTGCCATTTACTGAAATGTGTAGGCCATTGTAATATCAAAATTATTAATATTAATCTTATTCACACAATAAATGATAGCTTCAAATTATTGACTATTATTGATGGAACTGTTTATAATTATTGTATCCTTAGAAACTAATTGTAATTTTATGACCAACTAGGAAAAAACTAGTTTTTCGAAAAAGTGATAAGAGGCAAAAAGTTTTAAAAATAATGAGTTAAACTAATGATGCCACAAAATTCATTTGATTTGAACGTACTCAAAAGTTTGAGAGGATTTAGGGCTGTACGTACACCCCCCTTAAAATTTTTCTGCGCGCTTAGATTTTGTTGTTTCTTTTGTATGAAAAATGCTTTCAGAACAAGAAAGTAACGTGTCCATTTTTATTACAAAATGTTTTATGACTTTAATTTATGACATAGCTTTTTGAAACACCCTATACACATAAAGACTTTACTAGTTAGTTAGTAGACTTATGTTAAACTTAAGGCTAACCAATCAAATAATAGTAACTAATTTTTATATGGATTCGAATGATGGGTCGCAACTTTTAAAAATTTTACTTTTATGAGAGGCTTTAATTCTGCTGCCAATTCAACCAGTCGGTCTCCTCACTCATTTCTATCCTCAAGCCCAAGTCGACCTACGAACTGTTAATATTAACTCCTACCAATTTTGACATTTATGTCACCTACTATCAAACCTAGATCCTTTTTGGGGAGGTTTCTTAAACTGTTGCATAATTCGGGTGTAAAATATTTCGCTGATCTCGTCCGGGTTGTCAACTGTAGGAATAATGTTAATTGTAATTAGAAAAGTATTAAGTTAAATGAGAAGCGTTACCTTCCATATTGGTACAAAATTTTTAGCAAAATTACAAAATTTGGTTACAAAATTTAAAATTAGTTTTCTATATTATGTTCTGTTCATATTCCTTGTCTTTGAAGATGAATCTTTAACTGACCATTCGGTGTAAATCGGCTTAATATGTAAAACACTGTAATGCGCATGCGATATTAATTGAAATTGCAGAGAATGGAAATCCTTGAATAAGGGAAAGGATAATAATCCCATAGATATATAGAATAATCCTTGTTTAATTTTCTGAGTAGGTATAAAGGTATTATATACTGTTTAATGGAGGCAGTTATACATAATTCAAAAATTACTATGCAAAATGTTTATAAACTACCTTTTAGTTTTATTTATATGAAAATATTTCAATGACTTATCTAAATTAAGAAAAACTATATTTTGGATGTAGGTATTTAGAGTTTTATACAATGAATTTGAGACCTTTAAATAAACTTGTGTTTTTCTGAGACCAGAGAAACCATTGTTTTGCATTATTTTTACAAAACAATGAGATATTTGCGAAAAATAAATTTTGAGTAGATTTTATATAGAATTTTATTTAATAATTATTAACTTATTAACTAAATTATTTTTAGTTATAATTTTATGTGCACCTTGTAATGTAAACATAGCAAGGAAATAAAAGATCAAACATAAGGGTTAGTTCTTCTTCTTAACGTGCTCTATCAAGTCCCCTTGACGTTGGCGATTAACATGGCGAAACTATCTCTGTCTCGAGCTATTCTAAAGAGTTGCTCAGCTTTCCTTATTCCTGTCCACTCCCTGATATTCTTCAACCAAGAGGCCTGCTTTCTACCAATTCCTCTGCATCCTTCGATTTTACCCATCATAATAAGTTGAAGAATATTATATCGGTCTCCTCTTACTACGTGTCCAAAATAGGCCATATTTCTACATTTGATGTTATCAAGCAGCTCGCGAGCAGCATTTGCTCTCTCAAGGACTGCCACTCTGTCAGCATAGCCGTCAGCATACCCAAGGGGTAGTTAGCCTAGAAAAAAGTAATAATTATTTAAATAATTATTATATATTCCAAATTGAATAAAGAACAAATAATTCGACATAGTTAATGTACCTATACATTTCAAATTAAACAAAGAATGAAAATTCGACCTAGTTTAAGTGTATTACACGAGTCTCGATATCAGGTCGCTACGAATGTTTAAAAATTACGTTTAAAACATAGACCTTCGTTGGAAAATAACACCACCGCATGACCCGATTTTTAGCACGTGGAAAGAAGACTCGATCAGCATAAACTCGACCTCGGTACTGCGATTTGTAATTGAGGCTACGGGTTCATAAAAAACGAAGGAAGTTGGCCAGCGAGTCAGTAGTTGCTCGGAACCCGTGAGTGCTCGGAGGCGGTAGCGTCCAGTAAGCGCTCGAGTAGTAGCTCGGCACTCGTGAGTGCTCAATGCCAAAAGCGCGAATGATCGGGGCAATAATTACGCGGCACCAGTGAGCGCACTATAGTATTTCGACGGGATAGTAGTACCGTATAAGTGCCGGGTATTGGGTATCTCGAAAAATTCATGATAGCGTGCGGTACTTCAACAGACTGATTCTGAATTCCAGTAGGACTGAAAGGCGTATTCATTAGCTGGGGCCTAAATACGCAAAGGTAACTAAATCTATATACTAACCCAGGGGCATATATAATAAACGTAGATTGTCCATCCTTTAATTTTCTTGCTAAAGTCTCTTCTCGTCTCCCTTCGAGTCTGACCGAATCATAATTAGTTATAACTGATATCTTGTTGTCTTAGTTGTAGTATATAGTCTATTTAATACATTGTAAACTTGAAATTTGGTTTTATTGTTCTTTCCCTGCCGTTACATGTAGAGACTAGAAGAGAACACATTTCCGCTTATACATTTCTCCGGCTTCTAAAGCAAGCCCATAGACTCAACTCTTTACAGGGCCTGAAACCTGGAAGTCCTTCATCCCGTTTTCCCAAACTTCTCTACCCTCCTGAAAACCCGCGAGGGCGAAACCAGTCCGTTCAGACTAGTGGGACCAGTAAGCCTTGCCTCCGCTCGCTGGGATAGGTATCCCCTAAAAATTTTAGAGGCATTTAAGGATTAGAGAAAAAAAGATATTCTGCAAGCAAGAACTGTAGAAGAAAGAGCGAACCGACAACAAGAATATGAAACAATAAATAAAGCAGTTAAAAGAAATGCAAGAAGAGACAAAAGAAGATGGACTGAAGAACTGGCAAAACAAGCCGAAATAGCTGCACAACACAATAGAACTAGAGAGCTATACCAAATTACTAGACGTCTAACAAAAAGAGGGCCCAACTGTTCAAACGTCGTAAGATCCAAGACAGGAGAACTACTTACTACAACAAATGACCAAATAGAGAGATGGAAAGAGCATTTTCAGGAGATGCTAGGCACGCCCAGGGATAACGCAGATGAAATTGTCGAAAATCCACAGAATATAGACTTGCGTATATCTTGCGACGCCCCTTCCAAAACAGAGATAATAACAGCTATCAAATCTCTGAAAAATAACAAGTCTCCGGAATCGATAACATTGCTGCCGAAATGCTTAAAACTGATCCGCATCTAACTGCTGAACTTTTGCTCCCCATAATCCGAGAGGTGTGGGAAACAAACCGCATTCCAGCGGGCTGGAAAAAAGGCATCATTACTAAGCTTCCAAAAAAGGGCAACCTCACACTATGCAAAAATTGGAGAGGAATAACCTTGCTTACCGCCATAAATAAAATCTTCACGACCATCATACTTAAAAGATTAACAAACAAGGTTGAATTTCGAGCTAATCAAGTAGGCTTTAGACCAGAATCCTCCTGCATAGACCACATTAATACTGTGAGGCTAATAATGGAACAATCGGTTGAATGGAACACACCCCTATACATGGTTTTTGTTGATTTCGAGCGTGCTTTTGACAGCTTATCTCATGATGCAATATGGAAAATTTTAGAGCTAAGAAACATCCCGCATAAAATAATTTCCATTATAAAGTTACTGTACACTGAAGCGAAATGCAGCGTGACACACAATGGGATCAACAGTGACGAATTTGACGTACTTACTGGAGTCAGACAGGG